TTTAATTGTAAACCGAAGGCAACAATTAGTAAACCGGACTGCGGGAGATAATGCATAATCAAAGTGACAGCAAAGGAGGGGAACGAGGAACTATCAACAAATTAGCGAAAGTCCCTGTTGGTTGCATAATCTCGATGTATTGGGTGCACTCTAGTAGACAGTTGTAGTGTCGAACGCCTGAGAAACTTCGAGGCAGACAGCAAGCGGTCTGTTTACTGGCTCCGTAGTGCCATTCTCATAGGCCGGGGAGTGATGGCCGGATCTACGTTCCGCAACTCGGCGCCTAAATAAAAGCAGACCTACTGAGATATTAACTTGGGCTGATCGTGAAAAATGACCTTTGCACTGTTTGATGTCATTAGGGGTACCGGTTGTAGCAGTAGGTGATTAATCACACTGCGAATAAGCAAATGCGAAAAATATGGTCCCGTTCATGAGGGCACTAGGGTTAATTTCTGACCTGGCTGTCCGTTTCGAACGTGTGCCGCGTGATGCGTTCTTCGCTGGTTGAAATCGCATAAAATTACAAATAAGTGGTAGATGGGGTGCTCACCGATCGTTTTTACGGCACTCACTCGTCCCGTTGTGCCTTGGGGCTTTTGCCTGAGGCCAAACAGCAGCCGCACAGCGGTGCAGAATATAAGAGAATGGCGTTACCGACAAAGATAAGGGAGGCTGGAATGACCATTTCTGGCTTGTTAGTCGTCGCCAGCCAGCCAGCCATATCTAATCCCCGAAGTGTGGAACACCTGGGGTTCGATCCCGCGACCTGTTGGTTAGAAATTCTGTAAGGACTGGTGAGCGTCCCTCTACCATTATGTATTCCCGATCGCGACCGACAGGAAAACGAGCCCGTGGCTCAGTGGTTGGAGGCGTGGACTTTTGACCAACAGGTCGCGGGATCGAGTCCCAAGTGTTCCACACTTCGTGATTGGGTATGGTTGACTGAAGACGGCTAATAGCCCAGAAATGGCTATTCCCGCCTCCCTTGTCTTTGTCGGTAATGCCATTCTGCCTACAAATAACTCTAAAGACGAGACTTGCTGGTCAGCATATCTGGCCAACATATAGCGCAGCGACCTGTCAGGATTCGGAACTGGACGTCAGAACGCAACTTATTTTTTTTTATTTTCATGCTTCTATCTGTGATGTGTAGGTAGTAACAGCTGAGCACGATCGTGTAGTAGTTAGGTATAATATAAGCCTCAACAGCAGATCCGCTGAGGTGAACTTGCATATCGAGATCGCAACTCACTGTCTTGCAGCATTGTGGGTACCGTCCGAATGATTTCATTCAGCACTTGTTGACTACCCATGGCACAGGCAAAACGGTCGAGGGCCATTTCGGCCGTTACCGCGTTGCTGTCTTCCTCATCCTCCTCGGCAGCGTCTACGGTCTCCCACTCAGGGTCCTCGTCCAGATCAGTCATCATGGTGAGAAGAGTACGCACGAGCGGCTCAATGAGATCCTTGCCAGCCTTTCGTACGCCCGAGGGGATGTTCTCGGAGAGGGTGATAATGACTTCGAGAGCCATGTGACGCATAGGGTCCGCGAGCTCCGAATTGACCAGAATCTAGAAGCAAAATATGGATGGTATATTAGTGGAATCGGGAGAGCGGTCGAGTGATGTAGTCGATGGACGGAAAGAAAAGACGGTTTGGGGGTTAGAGACTGCCCTACAGCGAATTCGGTTTTCGATAATCTACGAAAGAGTCGGACAATAGGCCCTTCTACTCGGATCTCGTTCTCCGGTTTGATGCGGATCGAAAACACGACTTCAAGCAAGTAGGTGCTTCTGATCATATGCTGGACTTCAGTCCAGGGACATTAGTGGACTGTTAGTGGAACGCACGCAGACTAATTTCTGCACTAACAACAACAGTCGTGTCATCTTAAATGTGTGTTAAGTCTCGAGAAAAAACATTTATCATGCGGAACGATAGGAAAATCGGCAGCAGTCGCTCATTGACATTTTTGGAGCTCGCGAGCGAAGGCCATTGACTAGACACCTCTAGCTCTAGTTTCGGCCGGACCTAGTGATATTCAAGAATGCACCGCATTGGCGTCAACTGTGACACAGCTAAGCGATGACATTGAGAGTCAAGTCACATAAACTCTATCAAAATCTGCCTCTTGGCTAAAAATCACACGGACGTGACACGAATTAATGACAAAGATTTACAAAGTATGCATATCTTGAATTCACACATGAGGCGTTTCTTCTCGGGCGTCCCGAAGCGTTCGGAGAAATGCATGCGCTTGTCAACAGCCGACGACGAGGGGGGGGGGGCTGAAGTGTTGACATTCAACAAACAAGCCGAACAGCACGCGTGTAAACATCAGCTAATAAACCGTGCTACCGACGGCCAATCAACACCAAAACGTAGCCTAAAATTTCCTGCAGATCAAATTTGCGTTAGTTCAGTCCTAGTAGATGACAGTTATCACACGTAAATCCTCCGTGGACCTAAGAGTTCTTGTTGCAACCAACTCAAGTCTGAGCATCAGGAAATCTACCTTAATTGACAGGAGTATTCGTCAGTCTTCTGATTGTAGGATGTCGTTGGTAAAAATCATCTGGAGGGGTGACGCACATTGGTACGGATAAGAACAGTCAGGATGTAGTTAGGGATGTTGGAGAGGGTGGAAAAGGGCAAATTAGGGAAGCTTGCCTTGTAGCAGAGATCCAGGGTGTGTGGCAGGAAGGGGCGGAGGTACTTGGAGGCGGCATCGGCCAGTTCGACCAAACACTTGAGCATCGTGTCATCATCGGGCTCTGCCTCCACGCTCATCGCGACTGCCTAAAATAGCATTATATGCAAGGAAAAATCGGGATCTTTTGATGAGGACGAGAGAAAAAGTGTATTGTCATGAAACACACGAGTAGGCGCGGCACAGTGCTTTCCGATGCGACGAATGAAGAAGCAGCGAACGTTTTTACAGGGATAGCCTGTGTGGAAGTCCCATTATGAGACGTTATTCAGAAAATAATAGAAAATTAGGTGCAACAAGTAGATTTAATTGGAGTCATAGCAATGACCATCGACTAACGAAAGGTTGATAAAGCCGGTGACCATGAATTTGTCTGTCACGTCGAGCCTTTATAACAGCAAAAAGGTGTATTTCAAAGATATACACAAGGAACCAAGTCTTACCATCAGGGCCGGCTGCGCGAGGTCTTTGAGAGCATGTTGAACTGAGGTCTCGGTGGAATTGTGTACCAGAAAAGCACAGAGAGCCCGAAATCCGGCGATCCGGACCTTCAGAGACTGATCGGAAAGTGCCTGGTTCAACATATGCGCAATGTGAGGCATGTTAGCGGTGTTGTCAGGACCGAACACGGCGGGCACAGATGCGAAGAGGTGACAAGCTATTTCCCGGAGGCCAGGGTTTTCTGACTTGAAGCATTCGAAGATGAACGGTTGGAACTCAGGCCATTGACAGACTCCATCATCATCTGATGACAGCACGCGTGATGAAAACATCAGTGTATAAAAATAATTTTAACTAACGAAGATGAAAGAATGCAACAAAAAGGACGGGACTGAAAGTGCTATTTGGTACCAAAGTCTAACCCTCGAAAGAAATTTAGTGACAGGTGACGCAAGCTCTAATACAGTTAATTTTGGTCAATTGGGACACAACGCTTAGGCTTCACTAAGAGTTTGGACCAAGCACTTGAAATGCGTACAACAGCTGGGAAATGTAGGAGTCGGTCAACTAAAACCATAATGCTGGTAAGTAGTGATACCAGTCCGCAAATGCGCACGTATATAGAACAAGCCTGAACGTATATTAGGTTATTCAACCTTAGCGTGGTATCCAAGGCATAAGGAACATTAAGGGATCAAACTGTTATAGAGGTGCAGAAAAATTCAAATTTCAGAAGTCACTAACCAAAGTGCTCGCGGACGAGTTCAGCCGCAACATCGGCAATTTTGCGACGCATTAGATCCACGGACTCATTGACGATAGCGACCAGGAGTTGTTGCTTCACAGCGGCCTTTATCTCGTCAGACAGAGGGCTAAACGCTTCATCGAAGTCGCTCATAAGAAGGCGGCGACAAAGAACAGCAGAGAGCGTACGGCACTTGATAAAGAACAACAGCATAATGAAGTTTCTGTTTCATACAATAATTTTCGGTGCATATTTTCAAGGCGATCATAAAATTGAAACATAAACATCCAAACAACAAGTCCATTGGGCATCTTATTGTCCGTTGAAATATAATGGGGACAGGGTTATCCTAAGTTGGTGTCAAATTATAATTCATCTTATCTCTACAACAAGAGTACACCCGAAAGGGCATAAATTTGAGCAGATGGAGGTGCCCAGCTAGGTGGTGAATCGTAATGAAACAGGATTATTCGCAATGGTTAGTTGATACAAATAAGACAAGCTGCTGGATAAGACCTACCTCGGGAGTGAGGGTGGCGTCGGCCATTGACTGGAGAAGCAGGCTAAGTCGATTAGGAGGGGGAATATTTGTCAAGGCGGTCTAGGTGAGAGGGTTAACATCATCATGAACGAGGATACCTCTGCCTCCGTACGGACATCATGATCGATGCTCTGCAGTCGAGTCAGCAACGCACTGAAGGAATCTTTATCCATTTTTAGCAGTGACACTACAGATGAACAAAACGGAAATAGACAGATTAGAGCAAAAAAATTACTATACCGGACACAGTATACCTAAGCGGAGGAAGTCGAGTGCGAGATAGTACAGTCTATACTAGCGGCAAAGAAACTAAGGTCGTGATTACTGAACGGTGAGTCTACACTGTCCAAAACCACCGCCAAAAATGACCGTACAGCCCTCGGGTGCTGTGTTTACTATCTCCGTAATGAATGAAAACTTAGCCTGTATCATGTAATCGATAATAAATTTAATAGGATACAGGGAAATTGCAACTCTGGATGCGAAAAAGATTTGACAAAATGCACTCTACACCGAGGGGATGGGAATCAGTTACAGTACGCCCTCTTCAGACCTGCATGCGGAATAAGAAGCACATGAGGACTAAGTTCACATGTGATGAAATAGCAAGTCTAGAGGAAATTGGGGACCAGTCCGACAAAGAAGCTGGAGGATTCTTGACAATCGGTTCCAGGTTCATTTCATGGACAGTGCGCCGAAAATATTGTATGGAGAATACGTGTAGGGGAGAGGAGAGAATTACTCCACCCCCACAGTAAGGCCTAGATATATCTGGCGAGGGGTCAATACGTAATAAAAAGATGGCGAAATTAGACATTCGGAGACCCAAGGCTGTCAAAATTACACTCAGCGACAAGAAATGAAACTACAAGAGGCATTCACTGTAAAATAGTGCGACCATGGACAGTTACCGCTTAACGAGCCTTATTGAGCTGATTTACAGATTAGGTACGTAAGCTGGGGTCATTTTCGAATGTTCAACATGACCTATTATGAACAACTACTCTTTTATACAGAATAAAGAACGATCGAACGCCAAATCCCCACCTGGCAAAACACCCCCCGACCACACTAAAATCTAAATGTGCACGCGCTGCGAAAAACCACGGCGTTAAACAACCACATTAGCAGGAGGAGACTTAAACTAATCGCTGCCAAAGTTCCACTTTCGTGGTGTTGGATCTATTCAGTACACCGAATCAAACGGATGAGCTGTAAAGTAGCCCTCGGGCAGTATACAGCTCTTTGTCGAACGGCAGAAACTTGTAGAGGCTAAATGTGTAACATAATGCATCTGAATATTAAAGATCGAATCCATAGACTTCATAATGATGGTGGACTTGTTTCAAGAACCGGCAGATGCCATACAATAAATCGAGGCAATGGGGCGCTTGGCCGAAATATGAGTTAGGGGAGGGATCAGTCAGCAGACAGAGTGGGGAGCGAATATTACCGCTGCAGCTAAAGAGAAGATGGGAGGAGAAAAACTATAGGATAAAAGTATTGTTTGTCAAAACACCACAAAAAGATTAAACTACGTCGGAAAACGTAGTTAAAACGTTTTTCTAACCAGTATATTTGCTAAACAATGATTGTTTTGAAAAACATGGTGGAACGGTTCCAAATACCAAAGCATAAATACATTCCAAAAGATTTCGAAAAGCACCAATTTGTTCTTTTTTCATTTTTGCAAATGGCTGTGTATTTGAACATGACTTAAAATCATAAAATTCATCGAAGTATGCTAAGTTATGCCAAAGACTGAAGGGAGATGCGAGCCGCTGCAAGCAAACAATGTGAACTTCCGGGAAAATTGTTCACATCAATGAGATTTCCTTTGTATGCGTGCTTCAATTCCTCACGAACCGAAGTTTTCTCCTGGATGCTGCACTCTCCGGTACAGCTAGTACCTCCTCGTCTAGATCTTTTCATGGATAAGTGACGCGCTGCGTGAGTACCACTTGCGTAAGTCTTAAGTACACAAGGGACTTAAGTATTTGTCAGTAATGCCAACAGAAATGTAGGGTAGGAATGTGTTGAAAGAAGGTATTTCCATCTCTACTATCAGTCTTATGTAGTGTCCTCTAAGGTTCGCTGAGGTCTACGCACGAACTTCATTCGAAAAGAAAAACAGCTGAAATTTTGAAAGCGAATGGCCTATGACAGAATCGGAATCGATCGAAAAGGCAATGCTGCTCTGCCTTTTCGACTCACCTTATCAACTGCAAAGTGCGGGAGACATGTTAATGAGGCATATTTTTGATGCGGGGAATAAGGTTTGGAAGGGAAGGTGAATGCCTTCTTCGGTAATATTTCCTATCCCACAAGCAATGTGGAGCGATTGACTGTGTTTGGCTACCAATACTAACACTGCGGCAGAGTAAGTCTGCGAAATGGCTACGAGTAAACATAGTTCCCTAGATAACTATGAAATATCCGAAATAATCTAGGTTTTGTGTAACTGCTACCAGGACCCACTGAACGATCGAATAGCCGACACGTTCTAGACCTTCTTGGATAAAAACTTGTTCTTCTGTCAGGCCTAAATTTAATATTATTCATGAACACTTGCCAGTCTTGCGGACTTATCTGAAACCAATGTTTCACAAAATATAAGAAATAGCATTTGGTCTGAAGTAGGTCTTTCGGAATGCCACTGTAGACCTACGGTCAAGTAGGAAGCGAATTCCATCTACAAATAAAACTTATAAGCCAACTATCTGCATTGTATATGGGAATAGGGGATTGAAGGTTTTCTAAAGAATCTCGAAAGCCAGCTGTCCTGAAACCCATTCTGGCTTCGGTTCAGTTCTGGACGCCTGAGAATAAAGGAAAAAGTGTCAGTGAATTGCCTTGCCTGCTGGAGAAAATATCGCCATCATTTTTCATATGGACGCTATCATCTATCCACGGCCCAGTTTTTAACTCGTTGTCTTTTATGTCGGAAAATAACAATAGTGATATTGATAGGTTTATTTTTAATCGCTCACAGGACGCTACCCAACAAAGTTAATGGTGAGTCAGCCGGTAAGACAAAACATTGCTGACAGCACTGGTCTGCGTTAGCAGCCAGACGAACAGTAGAATTTTTTAAACTGTGCTACGTAAAACAAGCCATTTTTGCATGTCAATCGGCAATTTGTCTTTTAAGTGCGTACTGTTAATAATAACAATAATACCTACAAATTCAAAGTTGGGACGTTTAAGAAAAAAGGGTGAGTGACGAATGAAGCAATGAAAGAAATACTATTAAAAACTTAATATTGTATGGTGAGATCAGGGAACACACATTTTCGGAAAAATATCCGGAAGAAAATCTTCTTGGCTAATAGATATGGAAGTTCAGAATAGATTCTTCCAGAGTGCAGGATGAAACTGTAAAGACAGATAGGCAATTGAGACTAAAGCGTCACCGTAGTACACGTGGGGATGACAGATAGTGAGAGAGCCAGAGTGTGACCTCGATAGTTCAGCGGCTGGTATGTAATCTTCATACGGATTAGCAACGAACGAGATGGAGACAATCTAGATGGCGCTCGCCAGCATGTCCCCGATTATTTAGCTGAGAAGTTGTTTAGAGAGGACATCGCGTATTACGAAGGACACGATGCATGGACCGGAAAAATCGAGATGCCTGCTGAGGGATCATGGAAAACGAAAACACGCGGAGAGGGAATTTTGAACATACAAGATAATTTGGCGACGGCAGCGTCCTAACTGTCCAGAAGATGTCTTTTAAAGTCACGGAGAAAGCTGCTCAGAAAGGATGAGGCAAACAAAGGGTTAAAAGAGCCAGTGTTTAGATAAATACACAGCGCTATCTCAAAAACAAATAGATTTAGATTTCCTCAAGCAATTACTCTTTTGTGCGGGCCCTGTTTCGTCGCCTCACAGTTCAGAATGGGTTTCACGTTTGAGCATGCTAGTTGCTTTCTCTTGGTTTCCGTTTCTACAACAGTTATGTTCAAAGAGCATTCTACCTAATTATATGAGACCCAATTTGCATGTTTTTCGGTGGTAAAAGTGCCTTGAGTGGTTTCGTGTCCTCATGAGCACACGCATTTCGATGGCAGATAGATTACAGTCGAAGGGGTTCCATGTATACTTCGATCTGGACGATGCAGTTATACAAACATTTGTGTGGGAGGCATCACTTTTGCACGAGTTCGGAAAAATCCTGAGGACTAACTGGTGCTCTGTGTGTGACATCCCTGATGTCAGTCTCTATTCTAGTCTTTTTTCTACTAACAGTTTGTTAGTAACCAGGCTTTACTCATACAGCCCTGCCTTTGTCTCTGAACCATTATTCGTCGGTTCCTTGTTCATTGCTCTTTGTGGATCGTCAATTGCCCTTTTTCGCCGCTCGCTTTTAAACCGACCACAACACTTTGGCGTAATTCGCTGACTGTTCGTCTAATCACCTCGAATGTACGTCCACTTTTCAGTTTATTCCCCGTCTTATTAACTCTCTCGTGCTCCGCTAATCTTACTGTTTATTGCTATAGAACCACAAAGAATAATCGAGTTATCCCGACTGTCTTCTGACATAGCATTGACCTCGGGTGCGTCTATGGCGACGAATAAGCCGGCAATCAATGGAGAAAATATAAAGAATACTGACACTGGTCTTAATGATTATCTCTGTATCCACAGTCGATGTGGCCAATGGACCAAGTTCGCAGCCGAACGGACTCGGTAAGTGAAGAATGCAGAAAGTTTGAACTGCCAGCAACCCTCAATATGGATCCTGGCATCCCGAGGACTGAAGGCCTACTGCCTGCACCAGACACTACGCCACCGACCGGGGCGTATGTTCCTCCTCCTCCTCCTCCTCCTCCTCCTCCTCCTCCTCCTCCTCCTCCTCGACTGACCCACTACCGTCATTGTTACTACCACAAGCAATACGGGCTTTCTCTCAACCTGTCTCATTTACAGTTGCAGTTTCACTGACTTTTTCGGCCATTTGCAAGCCTACCGCACTGAGATCGGTGGACCACGACGACGGTCAACGGCGACTTTACGTGTGGACGGACTAAATCGATCCTCCTTTGTACAGTGCATTCTGTCAACTTCGTGCTCCACAGCACTCATCAGTGAAACTCTGTGCAATTATCGTTTGCGTACAAGTCGTGTTTGCCGAGTCAGAATCTGGTTGCACGCATAGAAGCGCAGTCAATGCCCATCTTCTCCCTCTCTCTCTCTCTCTCTCAAATTCTAACCAAAATAAAACCCCTACGACAACCCGCATCCATTAAAAGTGCCTTTGTGTCAAAACACTTACCTTGATGACCACGCGTAGCGCCAAGCTCCAACGTGCTTTAATGCCTCGCAAAAAGGCAAAATTAGGTGAGGCAGTAGAACTAATAGATAAAATGCACTATTACCACCTCACAAATGTCAAAATTAAAGAAGCCGATTATACAGGGCCGGTGGAAATGATTGTGGGGCGGAAATAAACCTCCAAAAGTACTTCTTTAATTAAAAAGTATGCAAGAACTTGTATAGCCGCCCAATTCTCTCACAAACGCACAAAACTCATTACCTAAAGACCAGAGAAACGAACTGCCTGAGACGGCCTATCTTAACAGCGAAACAAGATTTTGCAGCGACTTTGCCGGGAGGCGTCCAGTTCAATAGTATGTGAAAACACGGACCGCACCATAAATGAGTAGTATGAGCAAAAAAGGAAAAAAATTATTGTAAGGGGCACAATTATACAAAAAAGCGGTCAATACCTGATGTATGCGACTAAACCATCAATTCCCTAAAGCGGCTTAAGCAGGTCATGTTATTAATAGGTATTCCAGAGGATAGATTACTCCAATCGACACAACATTCTGATATTTCATCAGAGATAGGCCGATGTAAAAATATTCCGAACATACGATGCAGTCCCAATAACGCACATTATCTCATCGGGCGTTATTCCAAGATCGGATGACAACGTGTGACCTAATGGATGCAGGCCGAGGTTTAAATGCTTGTTTACGGACTACTTTGCCTGTTCCAGTAGGGTGTTTTGGTAATTTCACAATTTTGACACGTCATGCATACGTACGCTTACTAACATTTACCAGATAGTTGCATGCTTGTTGCATGTAATTGTTAAATCACACTTCTTTCTAACTTTCTTTATGCATTGGGTTTTTTGCGGCGTTAGTGTAACCAATAGGAATTCAAAAGCGTTTGTCTACCTTTCCCTTAGATAATTAAACCGAACTGAGCTTAAAATGGGAACATTGGCGTAAATATCAATGAGAAGGACGATATGAATTAAAAATCTTGGCAGAGATATGCCAGTGAGAATTATACGTGGGGGCTAATTTCGTGCACACCGGTAATTTATGTAGGATAAGCTACCCCATACACATCTCGATGGCAGTTGCATAAAACGTTGTAATACAGTTGTCCAACCTAATTAATAAAAATCAGTGGCAAATGTGTCGCCGTAAGTTACAGTGGAAATAATTATACCACCACTACTACTACTACTACTACTACTACTACTACTACTACTACTACTACTACTAGTACCACTACTACTGCTACTACTACTACCACTACTACTACTACTACTACTACTACTACTACTAGTACCACTACTACTACTACTACCACTACTACTGCTACTACTACTACTACTTCTATTATTATTATTATTATTATTATTACTACTACTACTACTACTACTACTGCTACTGCTGATACTGTTACTACAACTACTACCAGGAGCTCAATATCCACAATGCCATCATGTCCCTACTGTCACCACACACTTGCATTACGCGCCGGCCCGGTCGGTCACCTGGGAATCCATCACACCGAGACCGGCAACCCAGTGCCAGGAGCACGAAAATCCACATATCACGCCCGCCAAAACTCCCCATTTTGTATGCCGGCATGCATTCACCCCATGAGTCTACTCAACCATATGCGCCTCTATGACGACCTGCGGTTCAAACCTCATTATCAAACCTCGCCCCCATCAGCCTGCGCACATAGACCCCACCCATCCACACCACCCACCACGTGCACAGAATATGGAGTTCTCTCACCGGTGGTAAGCCTGTTATTTGTTGTGTCCCGGTCAGAAGGTCGTGTATGGCACATGCGGCCTGGTTACTTTAGCCCTGTTAGTCAATGCATCCAATTTCGTCAACAGATTACCGGCCCGGACAGAAGACTGGTGAATGACAGACGAAGGAAAGGGAGTGAGGTCGATACTGAGAAAGCCATCCCCACGACACATCCACGCCTTCCTCACTATGAAAAATGTGACATACCTAAATCTGTCGTGGCGCTCTAAGAGTCGTGACTTGGAAGCCTCACAAATGACAGGGCAACTATGCCCCTGCGCAAGTAAGATGTGCGCATGTGGGCACCTGAATAGAAAGGCGCAAGCTCGACTGCAGTGGTTCCTTCTTGAGGTGTTTTTATGGCACTCTCATGCATTTTGTGGAGACTAAGTCCATGCCTATCCTTTTTTCAACAAACCAAACCAAACTACTATATAAACTGAATGGGTTTTTAAGGAGTCTTCAAGGACTTGACATTTTGTTAAGCAGGAAAACCAGACTGGAATCCACGTTACCCATCTCGCACTAATGTCAACATCTGTCTGTCCAGGTTACCATTTAGAAGTGACCCCATCACATTGTAAATGCCTACAATTTTATTTTTGAGTACGAATCTGCGAAAGCATTGTACATAAATAGGATCATCAAGGGCTCTGCTTCTAGCCCTCCAAATATATACATAAACATGTTTGAGCAGAATTTATGGGCAGATCCGACACGCCTTATTGGCAGCCTGTGAACTCAAAACTCATAACTCTGATAATATATGGGTGACAGTTCGAACATCGGTTTCGATGATGTCCACCGTGTGCCCCACAGTTGCAGCAGCAATGGGAGCAGGGACGGTGACTTACGCAGGGGTTTATAGTGCCGGTAGACTCGCGTAGCATCTACCTACACTCTCTCCTTCTCCCGCGCCCGAGCCCGGTGTCAAGACAGAGTCAAGATGACCGGAGACGAGGGAGGCTGCAGGTGGATGGCTCGGACGGAACCTCACCTTGGCGTTCCACCACACCCCCTGGTCCACACAACAAATAACCAGGATTTCAACCAACACAAGAGAGATTTGGAGGCTGGCACGTCCGAAGCCGCACCTGGGCGTGCCGCCAACGCCTGGCTCGGATCCCACACTGTGATGGGAGTGCCATAAAGGCCACATTAAAAAGGAGCCATTGCAGCCTGACTCTCAGACCGCCTCCAGTCAAGGAGGAGGTCCAAGTTACCCCGTCAGTTGGCAACCTTCCAAGCCACGGCTTTTAGCGCACCGTGATAGCTTCAAGCGCGTCAGATTGTTTATAGTGAGGAGAGGGTGCGCTGAGTCGTCGACCTCACTCTCCCTTCCCACTCCCACACCCCAGCCGCTGTCTGAACCGCTCAGCAGACTGGAGTGGGGAATGGGCGCGGTGGCTGACATGGTCGACTGACCATGCCTGCGCGCGCCACAGCAGGACCTGGCCCCCCATACACACAAACACCAGGATTTCACACAACGGGGGTTGAACGGCGTGTCTCTCACTTGCGTGAGAGTGCCGTGGAAGGTGCTGTTGCAGCCCGTCCCCAGCCCACCAGTCCGCCACTCCACACAACGCGACGAACTGCGTGAACCGAGAGCGGGCGCCAATCAGCAACCTTCCTATCCACGACGCTTGACGTGTCGGGATAGTCTCGGACTCAAGTCACCCGTGCAGCCGAAGCCACATGGGGATCGAGTCGAGATGCGGACTTCCCACTTGCGTGGGAGGTGGCAGTTGGGTGCATGAGGTGTGTGAGTGTTGATTTCTGGTGGGGTGATGGTGGTGGTGGAGGAGGTAGGGATTGAGTGAATGTGTGGTGTGGCCGGCGGTTGTCTACCGCAGGTCGTCGTGGATGCGCATGTGGCCGAATAGGCACATGCGATGCGTGAAGGTGCGAGGACAGTGTGGGCAGTTGAGACGAGCTTGGTGGGTATAGGTGGGTGCTCCAGGCACTGGTTCGCCAGTCTCTGTGCGATGGATTCGCAAGTGACCGGCCAGGCCGATGCGTGAGGTGAAGGTACGGTCGCATTGAGGTCAGGTGTAGTCCTGATCCTCATCCCTGGAGTCGGGGGAGATGATGGTAGTGTCGGTTGCTGCGCACGGGACAGTCGCCTGAGCGGCCGCCGTTGGAGCAGTGGGCGAGAAGAAGAAGAAGAAGAAGAAGAAGAAGAAGAAGAAGAAGGAGGATGATGATGATGAGGAGGAGGAGGAGGAGGATGATTGAAGTGGTGGGTCAGAAGAATTGTCAGCGTTAGTTGGCGACGGAGAGGAGGAGGAAGAGGCAGGCGGGGGGACGATGGTTGGTGCCGTTTGAGAGGCGCAGTTAATCCGAAGATGTCCAACAAGTCCGATTCGAGCCCGGAATGTCCGTTGACATGGAGGACACGTTTGTAAGCGGTTGTGCGGCGGCGTTGCTTACTGGGCGAAGTTGTGATTTGCGAGCTTCACGTTTCGCCTTGGCGGCAGCGATGCGGTTGGCTTCGTAGATCGCAGCGCCTGTCTTCACTGTCCCCCCTTAGGTCGATCGATCGAGTGCGAACTCCTCCCAATTGGTGGGGTTGATTTGCAGGCATTTCAGGGAGGACTTCAGGGTATCCTTGTAACGGCGAATCTGGCCTCCTTGACGGCGAGAACCCGTCGCAACGTCTCCGTAGAAGAGTCGTTTGGTTAGTCGCTCGTCGTCCATGCGCACCAGGTGGCCGCTCCAGCGCAGCTGAATTTGCCTCAGTATGGCGTAGATGCTGAGGATTCCCGTCCGTTCCGGCACATCATTGTCGGGGATTCGATTCTGCCAGTTCAGTCTCAGGATGCGACGAAGACAACTGAGGTGGAAGTGGTTCAGACGCTATGCCTGCTTTGCGTACACCGTCCAAGTCTCCGCTCCATACAGTAGTGTCGGCAGGATGACGGCCTTGTACATCTTCAGCTTCGTGCTCAGCTGAAGACCGTGGCGATTCCAAACTGTGCTTTGGAGGCGACCGAAGGCTTGACTGGCTTTCGAGATCCTGTTGGCGACTTCGTCATCGATCTTGGTGTTGCGGGAGAGAGTACTGCCCAGGTACGGGAAGTTCTCCACCACCTGCAGTTGGGTTCCGTTCACGCTGATTTGCGGCGGCGCGTTGGGGACTGTGGCTGAGTTGGGTGGCGGTTGGTGCATCACCACCGTCTTCTGTGTGTTGATGACCAGACGGAAGCTCTCGCAGGCGGCGGAGAACAGGTCCATGCTACGTTGCATCTCCTCTTCCGAGGTGGTGTTTAGGGCGCAGTCGTCGGCGAAGAGGAGTTCGTGAACGGTGGTTGTGGATACGCGCGATTGGAAGTGCATCCGCCGTTGACTCAGCAGGTAACCGTCCGTCCTGTAGGCGATGCGGATCCCGGGGCGTTCGTCGCGTTAGGCGTCCATCAGCATGGCAGAGGACATAAGACTGAAGAGGGTAGGCGCCAGTACGCAGCCCTGCTTCACTCCATTGGTCACTGCGAATGCCTCTGAGACAGCTCCGTTGTCCGTGACTCGCGCCATCATACCGTCGTGCAGCTGAGGCACCATCTGAGTGAATCGCTCCTTACAGCCGATTTTCTGCATGATTTTCCACAGTCCTTCACGATTCACAGTGTCGAAGGCTTTCGTCAGGTCCACGAAGGTAGAGTACAGGTGAGTCCGCATCTCCTGTCACTTCTCCTGAAGTTGACGGTCGGCGAAGATCATATCCGTGGTCCCACGATGACGACGGAAGCCGCATTGGCTTTCCGGCAGAAGGCCCTGTTCCAGATGGTTATTGAGGCGGTTGAGGAGGAGTCGTGCGAAGATCTTCCCGGCGATGTTCAGCAGGGAGATGGCGCGGTTATTGTCGCAGACTTGGCGATTCCCCTTGCGCTTGTAGAGATGCACGATGGTTGCGTCTATGAAATCTTGCGGGACTTCACCTTGACGCCACATCTCTTGGAAGAGCGCAGTCAGGTGATCCATGAGTTGGGGACCTCCGTGCTTGTAGACCTCAGCAGGGATTGCGTCCGATCCGGGTGCTTTCCCGCTGGAGAGCTGCTGCACGGCCCTGATGGTCTCCTGGAGAGATGGCGGGAGGTCGAGGTCTACGTTGGTCTCCACTTGCGGCAAACGCTCGATGGCGGCGTCGGAGATGACGGAAGGGCGGTTGAGGACGCCTCGGAAATGCTCGGCCCATCGCTGCAGGATTTGCGTCTTCTCAGTCAGGAGAGTGTTGCCGTCGGCGCTGAGGAGAGGAGCAGTGCCCTTCGTCGGCGGACCGTAGACAGCTTTGATCGCGGAGAAGAAGTTCTTCCATTCGTTGCGGTCCGCGTAACCTTGGATCTCCTCAGCTTTGCGAGCAGTCCAGGCGTCCTGCATCTCGCGCAGTCGTTGCTGGAGCTGGCGGCGACTGCGGTAGAAGGCAGCTTTGGTGGCCTCAGTGGGGTGATCTACGTAGGCTTTGTGTAGGCGGTTCTTCTCAGCTAGCAGATTTCTGATGGCGGCGTCGTTGTCGTCGAACTAGTCCTGGTGTTGGCGGGGAGCACGACCGAGGACGGCGAGCGCCGTCGACTGGACCGTGTCTCGCAGTTGACACCAGCGGTTCTCCACGGAGGCGTTCTCGGCAGCGGCGGCGTCGTCGGCGGCAGCGATAGGAAGGTTGTCTAGCCTTTGAGCTAGCTCATTGTTGAAATGAGGATGGCGAGCGGGCAAAGACAACAAGGCAACATTCAGCTTACCTGGGGGTCGCTTATCTTGTGGTCTCCTCCGAGGCTGTAGGCGAATACGCATCTTCGAGATGACGAGGCGATGGTCGGTCCACCCGTCAGCATCCGCGATCGCCTTCGTCACCAGCACGTTCCGCTGATCTCGCCTCCGGACGAGGACATAGTCCAGCAGGTGCCACTGACGCCACCGAGGATGCCTCCAGGTGGCCTTCTCTCGCTCCCGCAGACAGAAGAAGGTGTTCGTCAGGATGAGGCGGTGTTCTGCGCAGGTGCGGAGAAGCAACAGACTATTGTCGTTTGAGCCGCGGAGACCGTGGAGACCCAGCACTCCTCTCCAGACAGTATGGTCTGGGCCGACGCGGGCGTTGAAGTCACCAAGGACAATCAACTTGTCCGCCTTCGACACAGTCGCCATGAGGGCGTGCAGGTCCTCGTAGAATTTGTCTCTGACGGCGTCGGGGTTGGCCATCGTCGGAGCGTAGGCGCTGATGATGGTGGCGAATTTGCCTCCCCAGAGAGGCAGGCGGAGGCTCATCAGGTGATCGTTGATGCCCTGCGGCAAACAGGGCAGTCGTCCCACGATGTCGTTCCGAATGGCGAAGGCGACACCCGCGTCCCGTCGCTCTGCCCTGGGTCGACCGCTCCAGAAGAAGGTGTAGCCGACACCCACCTCCTCCAGTTGGCCTTCTTCGGAGAGTCGGGTCTCGCTGAGTGCGGCGATTTCCACCTTGTAGCGTGCCAGTTCTCGTGCAACTAGCGCCGTCCTCCGCTCCGGTCGGTTGCTCCTCGGATTGTCTAAAAGGGAATGAACATTCCAGGCTGCCAGAGTGAGCGGGCTCACCCTGCCAGTCTGGTGACAACGAGTGGGGCGACGGGAGGGAGATGGAGAAGAAGGTGACGAAGGAGAAGAATAGGCAGAGGAAGAGGTAGAAGAGGTAGGATGAGGAGAAGGAGTATGGTTGTTGTTGTTATTGGCATTGTTGTTGTTGTTTCGATTTTGATTGTTTCGACCATGATTAGACGTCTGCGGCCCTGGCTGGCCTGGAGACGGCGTGGTACCCAGCAATGTTTAGGCCACCGTTTCTAGGCCCTTCCCCTCGTGGGGGCTGGCAGTGCCATCCCTGAATAGGGCTGCCATGTGCCGTTGTGGCACGGCCGAACTCCACTATGGGACCACGACTTCGGGTTGTAGTGGAGAGCGACTCGAATTCGCCGTAAGCCGCTGTCTCCAACGGCGTAGGTGGGCGCGTCAATGCGATGTCGATGTGGAGATCCATCCCGTCACCGGCTGTCCAGCGGTGTGCAGAGACGAACCACGTCATGACGGTGCCGACGCAAGGTTTCATCCGACCTTCCATCCAGCGGAATCCGCAAACCCTGTGCACACGGCACAGCGCACAGGGCCCCCTCACCTGGTTTAGCCCGCCGGTCGAGACGGTTGCCCGGGGTGTGGCCGCTGAGCAGAGTCCAGCTACGTGGAGCCAAAGGTGAGAGTTGAGTGCCAGCAAGTGGACGCTGGGCGCAGTCTCACCTGCAAGCAAGTGAGCGACCACCACGATAATTACGTGAACCCACCGCTGACACCCCTACACCCCAATATATGGGTACTGCGCCCTTGACCAGCACTCAACATACGATTAAAATAAAACTTAGTATACAATGTGCACAGTTTTCTCTACGAAGGCGTTGCCAACTTCTCTTAGGATGACGGATTAATCGGCGTTCGCTGAAAACAGGTTTTAAGAATTATTAAAATGGTGATAGTATACAGAAGCATCCCGATGTCACTCGGACACGCCTCAGAGAACTGCTATTTGCTATAATCCATTTATTGGTCATTCGCGTCAAACCGATCATCCATATCATCAGTTTCAACAAAGGCGCAGCATGGCTGTATGTTCGGCATGTCAGCGCACGTGTACACGCCTTTTTCAATGATGCGAAAACATCTTTAGTAGCTGCTCCCACCAACAATGTGTCCGTAATGTCTAATACGTTGCTTGAGCGTTTGAGAGGCTTCAGACGTGCCTAACGCATCCTTTTTGACGCTGGTCACTGCTAATAACTTTCGTTTTACCCAAGATTTGACATCCCTGTACACTTATTACACATTCTTCAAAGTACATAACCATCAGTAGAATAACGCGCAAGATGAGTGTTGCGGTGAATAAACGCTGATTTAGTCCAATGATAAAGGCGTTAATATAGTAATCAATGCAACGTGGAAGGGACTGTTTGTCTTGAGGATATTTTCAAAGGAGATTGTGGAGGGAGCGATGACGCCCGCTATAACACTAAAAAACCATGATATTAACTTTAGAACGAAATAGTCCCATGAAAACCTCCGTTCTTCGCTTCGCTAAAACAAACTACACCGGGTCGTCTGATACATGTCAACTCTTCTGTACAGAATAAAATTAGCTCTTGGCTTACGTAAATCCTGCTTTCCTTTTTAAAGATCCGGTCTGAAGTTACGCCCATGGCTTTGGATACGAATACACTGGACTAGCAGAGACAACGATTCATAGGTTGACAACAGATTCGGCTCCTGAAATAAATTCCTCCATTTAGTCACTACGTAGGTACATTTGTGCGCTCGTCTGTTAGTCCTTCTAGGGTAATTGGGTCTTTCCTGCATACAGTGTGGTAGCTCACGATCACTTCATGTAAACATACGCATAAGGCCGTCCTAGACAGAAGCATAGTTATGTGTGTGGTCTAAACCTTAAACGTTGTATAAGACATTAGGCAACTATGGCAGCCTACCTCTGCAATGTCCTTGAAGCAGATGTGAAAGTCCAACAGCTATATCTCAAACTTACAAAAACATAATCATGAGCCAACTACTCAGGCGACGCAAAATTTTGAATTACGCAATTGGAAGGTCGCATTCTTGAGGAAACTAATGATCGAATTAACTACATTCCGTCCTAAATCATATCAGTGGTTCCGCTCTATAAATGGACGGAGGGCGTGGAATTTATCTAAACGTTGGAAAACAATTTCCATACATTTTAACTATTCAAGCATCCTTTGAGGAATCTCCGCTGTGGTAAAAAATAATTAAAATTAATTACGAAGGAATTTATGTCGACTAACTCGTAGGAGTTCCTTACATTCAGTGAAGTCACGCAAAAGCTCACAGAAGACATTTTGCATGATGAAACAAGTGTTCGGTTAGCCACATAGAGTCTCTGGGCATACGAACGGTCAGGATCTTCCATCGTTGGATAGTTCTAGTGATTGTGTCAAAGGGACGGCAGACAGGTTGAGGGAGAAGTGAGCCGATAAATTCAAAGGCTTCTTTTTTGGTACATTTCTAAGAACCTGAGGAACTACTGTACATACAGTACCTGTACTAACTCATGAAATGCTGAGGTCAAAATTAGAGTTGAAACTAAAGCTTATTTTTGGTGTTGTCATTTGTGTTTATTTAATTGAAATAAGGACGAAAAGGCCGTTTGCTGAAGGAAAGTTTGATACGGATCTGTATATTTAATAGAAAACAGGCCGAATTTAGGCGAAATCGGAGGATTCCTGATATTCAAGCAGTTTCCTACGCTATTAGAGCTTTCGGATCGAAATTATTTGTTAAGCCTTATTAAGCTGTTCATGAAAATTAATAACAGGAAAAAATGTTCAATAAACTTTCGTACGAAAAGAAAAAATTAAATTTCAATATCAGGAAAATCAGGGAAATGAAGATAAATTACATCTTATTGTGTTCAAGAAAAAAAGGTGCGATTCATCATCTAAAAATTCTATTTTACAAATCCGTAAAGTTTTATGTTTCAAAATACCGAAATAAAAAAGTTTATCAGTGGATTGTTTTACCAGACCGAAAATGCGTATCGTAAACGAATACAGAGTTCGCGCGACATGCCGTCACTTTTCTCTATCACGCCAAACGATACCCATGTCTAAACAATACTTGTCCGAAGTTGACTTCCAGCTTATTCGAAAATTAGTGGCGGAGGGGAACTCAAACGGTCCACAAGTAAGCAAGACGACGATTTTATTCGACGTACATTAAAAAAGTTGCATTACATGACCATTGAGACCACTCAACGGGAACGTCTGCCGATGTTTTCTATGAACATCATTAGGAAAAGGATGAAGGAATTTGAGCTGCAGCGGCGGAAGGCCATGACTAAGCCATATTTAAGTAAAAAACTAATATGAGAACGGATTTTATTTGCTAAGAATTACATTGATTACTGATGTTCATTTTGGAAGACAAGCCTACGAAATCGCTCCAGACCGTCATATGTGGAAAGAACTTCCCAAGAGAACGCACTACACCGACGGCAACATTCAAGAACTGTCGGCGGGTGATGGTTAGGATGGCGATTAAATTCTGTGAGCGGCCGGTCTGGCGGTCAACATCCGACACCATCAACAGCAAGGTGTTTATTGCAATTGTCAAGGGTGCTTTCGGCTACAACGGCATAAGTCGGCGCCGAATGGATACCGTAATTTTGCACGACAATGCACCTGTCCACCGCTCTAGAGAGGTACGAATTTGATGCGGCTTGCAAATATAATCTAACATTTTAGACAACAACCACCTCTCCGCAATTGGCCTCCAATCCAATTTCTTCCCGGCCAACAGTCCCGATTTGAATCCTATCAAAAATCTTTTTGGAATAGTCAAAAGAAATTGACACAAAGCTAAGAAGACTCTTTCAATGCAGGACAAATTGGATTTCATACTCAATAATGACATTTTACAATCCACCATAGATAACCTCGTCATGTCTATGTCTGACAGACTTTCTGCCGTTATTAATTCAAATGGACATTCAGCAAAGTACTGTTTTTTTGTATCTGTTTCTGTCCTTAATTATTTTTGCCCTTTTATGCGCCCTCCTTCTTTATACGCCCTCATACGTAGCCTTTATTAACTTGGTTGTTATATAGGCGTTTCTCGAAAATGTGACTTTTGTCGAAAGTTATTTATTTTTGTCTCAGTAAATATTTTCTAAACCAAGCTTTGCTTTATTTCTTTGACACATCTTTTATTTTCTGCTCTCAGACTTCGGGAGCCGTAGTGTTTACCAATTCTGCGTTAAGGTCGTTTATCTGTGTTAATTCATTACATTTCATGAGCTAGCACAGGTACTGTATGATCACGATTATTTTAGCGCCGGCAGTTTGCTTCTAGATCACGTTTGCCACAAACTTTCAAATTTCCAGATTTACTGATGTAAAAACTGATTCTGTTTCTGTTTATCGATATGAATAGGGAGCTCAAGGACGAAAGTTTTATTTTTCCTACGTGCTCCGCCTCCGTAACTTGTTTCGGCATCTTGTAGACAGTTTTGAAGGTAAAAAGTGGGTGTCCGTGTTTGGTTATCAACAATAGAAGTTTAAAAAAACTTCCACTGACTTCCCTGAGTATGTTGCTGCCTCAGAGGATAATGTTGCATCGCTTTGGTCATCCTGCTTCGGAGTTCAGACTGTCGCCTACTCAGATTCGTGGGGGTGTGAAGTTTGACGGCTTTTAAAGTTAGATTCCCAATCATGAACAGCCAATGCTACCAATAGGCTGTCAGGTAATGACCACATGCAGCGGGTGTGTTTCTGTGTCTCTAATCGAAGGAGAATGCATGTCCGTGACGGACAAAGACACAAGAAAGTGTGTTCATTTCAGACATACTCCAAGGATATCAGTATCATTTAGCGTGTAGCTACCGTGCGTGGCCGATCTCATGAAATGTTGGCCAAAATTCTGGAATGCGTTTCCGGTTAGGAGGGATTACTTATGTGGGGTTGTTATATTGATTATCATGCAGCATAACCCTATACAATTTCTGACTCGACAGGATGTCTGCTTTTGAATGCATTTCTTCTTGACCTTCTGCAGAAACAAAACTCGGCAAAAAATGACCATTTGAGTAGCATGCATGTTTCCTATTGATTTTCAATGGTCTCATAAATTCAAATATATTTTATAGAAATCGTGCACAAAAATAAGCTCCCTTCTATTCATTTGGCAGAAAATAACGTTGCTTTTGCATTTTTTGCCCGAAGAAAGTGTATATTTAGGTTTTAAACAAGTTTCTAATTATGAGATTTTTAAGAACTTGCGAGGTCCATGCATGCAAGACCGCCCATGTCTGTTTACTTATGCTCCTCATGAAATGTACAACACAGTCCGGATCCATTGCGAAATTTCACGAACTCTGTGTGGTATCTTCTCAAAGGCATGGATGAATATATGATTTTCCTTACGCGGAAAGCATGCACCTTGTAGGCTGAAACAGCTAAACGCTGATGCAATGGCAGTTCAGGCTGAAAATTATTCGGAAATTGAGAAACTTTTTTAAAATCTAGATATACACTTTCTTCGGGCATAAAATATGAAGACAATGTGATTTCTCACCAAACGAGCAAAAGAGAGCATATTTTTGTGCATGCTTTCTGTAAAATATATTTAAATTTGTAAGACCATCGAAAATCAATAGGTAAAATGTATGCTAGTTAAGTAGTAATTTTTTACCGAGTGTGCTTTCCGCAGGCCAAAAGGAAGTGCATTCAAAAGCCGACATTCTGACCAGTCCGAAATGTTATAGGGTTCTGCTGCATGATAATCAGTGTAACAACCCCACTTAAGTAATCCTTCCTAACCGGAAACGCATTCCAGAATTTTGACCAATATTTCATGAGATCGGTCGCGCACTGTAAGCTAGACGTGTTTTCAATTATATGGTGGAAATAAAGTTCAAGTAGCATAGTTTCTATGTCCCGAAGGCCGAATATTAGCATTTCGGCCGTCGCAAATGACGAAACCCACCGCATGCCCTGCGGGGCGGACCCAACAGCATAAATTGGTTTATAGGTAACCAGGCATACCCTCCACCCAACTCACTCTCTGCTCTGACGATAAGTCAAAGTCAAGACGCAAAAGTAGAGGCTGACGAGGCTAAACAGCCCTTCTACGCGTACCTCACGCATGACCCGGTCTCCACTTTAAGTGTTCCAGGACAAACTCACAGTAGCTTGAATATGACATGGATGAGAACGCGGTAAAGAGGAGCCATTAAAGACGGACCCTCAGTGCCGTGAAGCACCGAGTTATCCGTCATTTGGCAGCCTTACAAGCCAGGACGCTCAGCGTGTCAGTGCACAAGGCGGCGACTCAGGTTAGGGATAGATTCTACAGTGTCGGCTTCACTACCTGTTCCTTTTCCCATCCACCGGTTCATCGTTCAATTTTGGCAACTAGCTCAAACAGCCTGTCCACATACGATCTACTCTCCACTTCGTGTACCAAATGAAGCGAGATGTAAATATACAGTAGGTGGGCTAACTCATGAAATCTTAACAGAAATTCCGAAATGCGTTCCCGTTTCAAAAAGATTAGTTAAGTAGTGTTGTAAAACAAATCATCATGCAGCATAATGATGATCCAGTTACCTCAGGGTGTCGGTTTTCGAAGGAACTTATTGCTGACTGTATGCAAGAACTATACTCTGCAAAAAATGACTACTTAAGTAGCATGCATTTTTCTCATTGATTTTCGATGTCTTTGAAAATTCAACTATATTTCATGGAAGACATGCACAAAAATTCATTCTTCTGCTCATTCGGTAGAAAATTACGTCTCCTTTTAATTTCAAACTCGAAGGAAGGGTATAGTTCGGTTTTCAAAAGTTTCTAATTGTGAATTTTTTAATACCGTTAAATGGCCGTTACTGAAACGTCATGTATCTGCATTTACGAATGTGACTTGTAGAGTTAACAAAATTGCTTAAATCCGCTGCTTAAATTTATGAACCCCATATGGTCTCCTAATACCGTAGAGAACTGCGTGGCTTTCCGTACACGGAAAATATACTGCTTGTAGTTTTGATACCCTGAATGCAAGTGCAACAGCAGGTCGAATTCGAAATTATTCGGAAATTTAAAAGTTTTTTAAAACCAAATTATACACTTCTCTCGAGTATATAATTAAAAGAAGACGTGATTTTCTACCGAATGAGCTAAAGATTGAATAATTTTATGCACGTTTTCCATGAAATATAATTGAATTTTCAAGGGCATCCAAAATCAATGAGAAAATTGCATGCTACTCATGTAGTCCTTTTTTGCAGAATGCAGTTCTTGTCTGCAGTCAGAAATAAGTTCCTTCGTAAGTTCACACCCTGAGGTAACCGGATCATTATAGAATTATGTTGCATGATCATTAGTTTTACAACCGTACTTAATTATTCTTTTCAAAACGAAAACGCATTTTGGAATTTCGGTTGACATTTCACGAGTTAGCCCATCTACTGTGCATATGCGCGGCATTCTGCTTGTCAAACCTGCGCTGGAATAGGGGGATCACATGCTAACTGCTGGAGTGATCAATGATGTGCTACGGAAAGGTACTTTGTACGCACGTGTTTTGGAGTAGGCTCGGAGAGCACACGGTGTGTGAGAGCAGGAGCTGGATCGGAGTCCGGCAGAAGGTATTGGGAATCCGTACCCATAACAAATGCCAACACTGAGATGTGGCGCTGGGCTCAGTTACCGGTTTATTCATCGCCAGCTGTGATTTGTTTTTCGTTGTGATATAAAATCATGGTTATTATACATCGTGGACCAGAGAGTGTGGTGGCACGTCTAGGTGCGGTTTCACGCCGTGCCAGCCACCTGTGCCCTCTCCCGCTTGCGGCCTTCATGACTCTGTCCTGAAACCGGGCCCAGGTGGGGGAGGGGGAGCGTGGTAGATACAACGCAAGCCTATTATCACTTTAAACGAACTGACGCACAAGTCACTGCCCCCTGCTGTGGAGCACACCGTGGACCTCGTCGGTCGCGAAGATCAACCAACCGTGTGTGCGCAGATTGAACGAGCTGTGGTGATGGGGTCTGAAATGAACTGTGTAACCGTAAATTTTCATGGAAACGCATTTGGCTAACTCGACCCTTGAGCTGAGCGAATGACTTAGAGCACTGCGGGCAGTAGAATTTCGGGTCTTCTAACACTGGTTGGTCGGCCACAGTACAGTGGATTCGGAACTGACTGACTATGTCGGTATGTGATGTGACGGTGCGACTGCTGGTTGGAACAGAGTTCACACCGCTGATCATACTGTTGGTGGAGGTGGTGAGAATGGGAAGACAGATAGATAGGCTTACTTCCGAAACGTTGCTTGGGATGGCGACGCTCTGTCATTAAAGGGACTAGTTAGAGCGGTTGTCGTGATGGAGGACTCGAAAATGTCCGACGAGCCAGATACGTGTTTCTGAAAGTCATTACAGCGCGAGCATGTTGGTAGGTGCATGATGCTTGCAGCGCTGGTCCGTGGTTCGAATGCTTGCCTGACCGATTTGACCTCTTCTTCGCGATAGGTTTCGTAAATCGCAACTCCAGTGCACCGTGTCTGCCGATTTCGAGCGAGGCCTCTTCATGTTTCAGGATCGATTTGCAGTTTTTCGAGGGAGATATTTGTGGTGTTCTTCTAACAGCGCATCCGTCTACACTGTTTGCCAGTAGCCAGTGGTCACTTGTGTAGGCGCTCGTCCTCCATCCTCGCGACCTAGTGGGTGCAAACCAGTTGCATCTACCTTCGCATGCCGCGGATACTGAAGACTCCAATTCTTGTCAGGCCTTCCGTGCCAAGAATCCTGTCTTGCCACCTGAGCGGTTATATTCTGTGGTGGCAGCTGAGCTGAGAGTGATCGCACTGCCCTGGTGGACATTCGTAAACTGCCCATGTCTGGGTTTCATACAGGAGCACTGCCATGATGGTGACTTGATGCATCTTCAGCATCGTTTTATATGACGGCTACAACGATTATAACCTACTTGCTGAAGTCGGCCGAAGGCCTGGCTATATTTGGGGATCTGTTGGGCAGTTTCACCGCTCACTCTGCTATAGTCGTAGATTTTATTTTCCAGATATATGTAAACACAGGATGGAGATCGTAGACTCTAGATAAACGGGCTAGGATTGCCTGAAAACCATGGGATAACGCTCCAGGACTATCCCACAAAACCCCAGTTTGTACATTTAAACAATAAAATAATCAATACATCATGACACGTCACACATAAAAGCACGACTGAATGTCCCCCCCGGGCGTCCGGAAAGGCAGGGGAACTTTAGAAGGGATAACATTATGGACGAGAATACTGCCAGGCCATCATTTCTCGACGAAAATGCCAATAGGACCTCCATGCTGCCCTATCTCATCCAGGAACACAAGAGACTGGCAGCCAGGCGGTTCTGCCATGCTCGAAGCAAGGAGAATGGCCTGAAACACCTGGACATCCGGACGGGCTGGTTGGCCATCTTCTGGTTACTAACCTTCTTCTTCGTCATGTGGCTTCTGCTGATGTTGTTGGTGGACATTGTGACCAGTTACCTGGCAAATCCTGTTGCAACGCAGATCAAGGCCGAGGATGGGGAGTTGGAGTTTCCCGACGTGACTGTCTGCCCCAAGTCGCCCTTCGGCAGCGGCATCTCCAAAACCGAGCTGAAGGCCCTAGAGGCGTTGCGTGAGAGGGTGAAGAAGAAGCTGCAAGACGCTGCTCTCGAATCGACGAAGGGGAACGTTCAGGCTGCCATGTTGATCCAGCTGGCAACAAAAGGAGGTTGGTTGTACAGTTGATAGCGAGCATATATCGAGTGGGTTGAGCAGATCTGGAAAGTTTTGATTTAGTTGAGGGACTGGTTGTCCGGAGATACTGGGACTAGCAAAATTCGATGACGCTTTATAATTTCATAACTACTTATTGGATTGCTCACGGTACTTGCATAGTTATAAGATTTAGGATCCAATAAGGGCAATCAAACGTGATAAGAAGCTGGTCTTCTTCAGACTTCGTACTTTACAAGAGGGCATCATTCGGTTTAAAAAGGTTTGTGATCACCGAAATTTCTAGGACTATGAAATATTTACTCATATGGCATTGTATATGTACGCTCATTAAGGCTGCGTATGAAGTACGCAACACAGTCCACATTGCGAAATTTTACGAAACCTGTGTGGCGTCTTCTTAATAGGGCGAAGGAATGTATCATCTTCCTTACAAAGTATACAGTGTGTAGTTTGGAAACTCCTTTGCCAAAATGTGGCCGAAATTCTCGCAAGAGGTGACAACCGGGTGAGCCGGAGGCTGCTTGAGTCATGGTTTACTGCCCCCCAGTCCATTAACAAGTGCAGTGATCTTTCCCTTCCATACTCGGTGCTGAGACTTCGCCTAGGCGGAGGAATTAGCAACACGGGAAGTGTACAGGTGAACACCCTTCCCAACGTGAGGACCGGTGGATCAGATGGTCTTACAATCATCACACCAACATCCAACGCACGTGATGAAATTGTAGCAATTAAAGATGTGAACATCGGCCATCAAACAATCAGCATACCAAGTGCAACGATCCGTGAATATTCATAGGTATGCGGTAGCATGGCGACTGCATTCTATAAATACCGCAGCTCCTTGTGCAACAACCACCCGTTTCTGCTTTTTCGTCTCTGATGATGGGTTCGAGCAGGAATACGAAAAGTGAGGCTAATAAAGCTCTTGTCCCAGCGATCGTGTAACTGCTTCCTGGGACTCGTTTCTTCGCTTCTATTGGCAATACATGAGAAATTAAGCTGCCGACAAAGGTAAGGTAGACTGGGATATCAATTGCTGGCTTATTCGCCGGGCAATGACCAAGGATTCTGGGTTTGAATCCCAGGTTTTGCAAACCTGTGTTTGGGTATGGCTGGCTGCTGACGACTAGCAGGCCAGAAATGACCACTCCGGCGTCCATGTTTGCTTTTGTCAGTAATTCTTTCTGAATGAGAACCATCCGCATGGGTTTCACATAGAGCACTGGTCTAAATTCTTCAAAACCACGTTCCGCGTGAGTACAATGTTTCGCCCGTCTGAGTAGACGAGGAGAACCTTGGCAACGGTGACTTGCGCAGCATTGGCCACAGCGGTCCTGAGACAAGTGGAATGGGACCACTGACTGACCTGGCTTAAAATTCCCCATTACGAAGGCCACACAAATACCCGGTCCTTCGGCGTTTATGAGCCTGTCTTCGTCTTCTCTAAGCCCGGGACTCGGGAATAAATGAACTCCTGAAATTTCAGGTGGGGGCGTCAATGTTCCTCCGTCCAACGCAAGACACCGAAGTCGCACGGAGACATAGTTTGCAATCAGGCAAACGTTAATAATCCACTTGAATACCTTTGCGTGCTGATATGAGGGCGGCATGCGGTCCATAACAACCCCCATAAAATTTAGCTCTTTATGATAGGATTCTTCAAAAGCAAAGTTTCGTCAGTGTTACTGTTTTGAAGCAAAATAGGTTTCCTGTGGTTGGCCACGAAAATGTTGGTTCCCCCGTATTACAGGCGGCTTTGCCTTTGGTTACAAGCGGCCAAGGTTAGGACGCGGGAATAAGAATCACCATGGACTGTCTGCGACTGTCTGATGATGATTTCGAGTCAGAATCCGAAACCTTGGGCCAACAAACTTCCTGTTCAAGTGATCGCATCTTCTTCTCCCGGATCACCCTGGAATTTAGCGCGGTGTCACGTGTAGTAGGGGGAAGGATCCATTCTCCCTACGTCAGCCGGTAGTTTGCGGATTTCGGCGCATGTTGTGTGTGCATTGCTGTACAGCTTGTTGCCGGAGGCAGTTTTTACATATTTCATGTGCATTTTGCAGATGGAAACTGTTTCTGTGATCGCGGGTTGAGGTTGCTTGCTTTTCTAAAAGGCATCTGCATGTCAACTGATACTTCGCACTTTCTGTCATCTGATTCGAGTCTGTTTTTCTATAGGCAGCAGCGTCCCCAGAGGTTACAATCACCTAGTTTACTGCCAGTACAATGGAGAGGCCTGTTCCTTTGTGAACTTCACCGAGCTGGTGCATCTACGCTACATTCAGTGCTTCACGTTCACCCCGCAAAATAGAAAACTTGCGGGCGATCGGGGTCTAACCTTTGTATACACGAGTCAACGCGCTGGTACTCCCTTCATGCTGTTGAACGATTTGGAGGTAATTCCACCTCTCCCTCTCTATGTTTATTTTCAGACAAGTACGAATGAACCAGATTGCTTTATGCAGTCTGATGCGGAAGTAGGTGTACGACCTGAGTTCGAGTCAGACAGGGGGGGGGGGGAAATCAGACCTTTAAAAGTAGCAACAGTCCAACCCAGCTCTTAGCAATGTACTTGCTTTGATCTGTCGCTAGACTCCTGTTGCCAAACCCTGGGGAGCGGGATCACCATAGCCAGTATTCAGCACTTTTCAGGGAAGGACATTCAAAGAATAAGGAAGAATCTGCTGAGAGTTTGTGAAAAATTCATAGATGTTTTGCAGATTTTGAATAATTCGTATTTACCCAACTGTGAAAAACTCGGCGCCTTGGTGGGATTCGAACCCACGCAGTAGGGGGAAGGCTTTAGTACAGCCAAGGCTCTAACCACTTGAGCTACGAGGCCCCGCCGGACGACGCGAGTTTAAGCACATTTGGGTCAAGTTACTCTCTCAACCTACTGCGACGTCTAGGATCCACCAAATCTGAGACAATAAGTTGACTGCCAAAACATCTATGAATTCTGTGAGCCTGGTAGTCATCTGGTGGATTCTAGATGAATTACTTGGGGAATCCTGCTTGGCAGTCAACTTACTGTATCAGATTTGGTGGATTCCAGACGTTGCAGAAGGTTGGGCGGGTAACTTGACCCAGATGTGATTAAACTCGCGTCGTCCGGCGGGGCCTCATAGCTGAAGTGGCTAAAGCGTTGGCTGTACTAAAACCTTCCCCTTACCTCGTGGGTTCCAATCCCACTGAAGTGCCGAGTTTTTCACAGTGGGGTCAATATCAATTATTGAAAAAACTTGGTAAAGTCACACTCCCTGAACCGCAGCCGCATAAATGGCAAGACCGTTCCCACTGACCTTAGATGGCCTTTTCGAAGAATAAGATAATTCGTAAAAAAATTCGCAGAAAATGTACTTCCTGGCATTCGCTTAGTGGCTCAAAGAAGATGTGCTTTTTAGTTTCAAATGTTTTCTGTATTCCCGAATTACTTTGAGCCTGATCTGTGTTTGCACTTGTGTTCAGAGTTTTCAAGCTACAAACTGTACACATTCTAGGTAAGGGAAATCATACATTCTTCTATTCTATTTAGAAGATGTTTCACAGGGTTATATAAATTTTGCAATGGATATGGGCCATGTTGCATATTCCAGAAAGTGCGTAATAAACGGACAGAGACAATATTTCTGAAGCATTTTTTCCCGGGTAGGAATTGAAAACAGGCATGTACAGCAGAATTTATCGGGGACAATAAATTTCGTGACGGCTTTTCAACTGCAGCCCGTCTCTGCATAACATAGGTAACGAATGGAAGCGCAAATCAGTATGAATTTGTACAGAATGGCAGTGCATAAGAGCAAGGTCAAGGTTCAAGGCAATGAATAATCATATAAGACGTTCACATAAGCAACATATAGGAAAGAGGGAGACGGAATGTTAACACAAATCACAGTCACGAGTAACATGAGGTGTGAAGGTTACCAGGGCAACTACAGATTGATCACGTGGTCTAGCTGCCTGCACAGGTCTTGTTTCTCCCACCGTATGTAAGCTGCTTCCAAATAACGCAAGGTTCGATTTGTATACGCTCGGACAAGTACTCGAAAAGATGTTTTAGGGTCGACAGCATGACCGCTATCTAACAGGTGTTTCGTTATAGACGAACGGGGGATTTTGTTTTCCTGTTTGAAAAGCCAATTAGGCAAATGCTCAGTGGCCCCGGTTGCCAATTGCCTTTGCGTTCGCCCTATGTACTTGCATCCGCGAGTGCATGTGAATTCATACACACAATTTGGGGTGGCATGCATTGGCAAGGCATCCTTTGCTCGGTTAATTGGAGGGCAATTGGAGACAATATTGTTTGAGTGGACATTTCGCGCGGTCCTAGAAAATCTCATAAGTAAAAAATTTTAAAACCGAAAGTTACCCTTTGTTCGAGTATAAAATTTAAAGAAGACGCTATTTACAACCAACTGAATGCAAAAGCGGTTATTTTGAGCGCAGACGTACACCATTCAAAATTTTGAGCTCAAATTTGTCCCAAAACGCATTTATCCAGTGGTCGCTCGAATGACCCCATAGTGGCTGCTGTTGAACCAACGGCGAATTTCCGCCGTTTTTAAAAGGGAGGGACTTTACATTTATATCGCATTCTTTGCTGGGATTTCCGCTTTACACCCCATTGAAATTTAGCTATTTCATGAAGTTCGGAGTGATGCGTATCTCTCGTCAACAGTTTCCATTGCTTTGGTCTTGTGACCTTCTCCTGTGTTCTTTTCATGCATCATCACAGTAGTGCAGCAATAGAATCGGACTTAAGTAGGAAGGTCAGTCAACAGCGACGCCACGTGTAGACGGACTAAATCGATCCTCCTTTGTACAGTGCATTCTACCCACTTCGTGCCCTGTAGAATTCATCAGTGAAGCTCTCTGCAACTTTCGTTTGCCTACAAGTCGTGTTTGTTGAGTCAGAATCTGGTTACATGCATAGAAGCGCAGTCAATGTCCATCTTCGCTCTCCCTCAAATTCTAATCAAAATCAAACCTCAAACGACAACCCACATCCCTGCATACTTATCCCTAGAAGTGCCCTTGTGTCAAAGCAATTACCTTAATGACCACATGTTGCACCAAGCTCCAGCGTGCCTTGCTGTCTCGCGAAAAGGTAAAATTATGTGAGACAGTAAAATCAATAGATAGATTGTAGTATTACCACCTCAAAAAATTTAAAATTAAGGAAACCAATTATACAGGGCCGGTGGAGGTGAGGGTGGGGCGGAAATAAACCTCAAAAAGTACCTCTCTAATTAAAAATATATACGAAATCGTATAGTCGCACAATTCTTGAACAAAGGCACAAAAACTCATAACATAAAGACCAGAGAAACGAACTGCCTGAGACGCCCAATCTTATCGGCGAAACAAGATTTTGCGGTAACTTTGCCGGGAGGCGTCCGGTTCAATAACACGTGAAAACACGGACCGCATCATCAATGAAGAATGGGAGCGAAAAAAGTAAGAAATACTTGTAAGGTGTGCAGTTATACAAAAAGCAGTCAATACTCCATGTATGCGACCAAACCATCAATTCCCTAAAGCAGCTTAAGCAGGGCATGTTATAAATAGGTATGCGAAAGGATAGATTACTCAAATTGACACAACATTCTGGTATTTCATCAGAGATTACCCCAATATGGTGTTTTCGATAGGCCGATTTAAAAATATTCCGAACATACGATATAGTCGCAATAATTCACTTAATTTCATCAGGTGTTATTGCAAGCTCGGATGACAAGGTGCGACCCAATGGATGCTGGCCGAGGTTTAAATGTTTGTTTCCAGACTACTTGGTCCATTTCAGTAGCGCGTTTTGGTAATTTCACAATTCTGACACGCCATGCATACATACGCGTATTCATATTTACCAGATGGTTACATGCTTATTACATGTAATTATTTAGTCACACTTCTTTCTAACTTTCCTTATGTACTGGGTTTTTTGCGACGCTATTGAAACCAATAGGAATTCAAAGGCATTCTCCTACCTTTCCCTTCAAAAATTGAACCGAACTGAGCTAAAATGGAAACATTGACGTGAATGGCAATGAGACGGACGACATAAATTAAAAATCTTGGCGGTGATATCTCAGTGAGAAGTCTACGTGGGGCTAATTTCGTGCCCACCGGTAATTTATGTAGGATAAGCTACCCCACCCATCTCGAGGCAGTTGCATAAGACACTGTAATACAGTAACCCGACATAATTAATAAAAATCAGTAGTAAATGTGTCGCCGCAAGTTACAATGAAAAGAATTATACTGCTACTACCAAATTAATAAACCAAAAATCTAAAGGGCGTTTTTGACAACACTGAATAACTAATCTGATTAAATTCTGAAAAACTCGGCAGCTTTGATGGGGTTCGCACTCACGAGAGCAAGAGTAAAAGCAGAGAACGCTCTAACCACCTGAGCTACAAAGGCTCTAATGGGAGCGGTGAGTTTAATTACATATAGGTCAGACTAGTCCTATTTATAATCTTGGCGCTCTGTAATAGTTGGCTTACATATCTTGAGAACAGAGTCAGGAAAAATGAGTAAATAATTTGGAGGCTGCTGTCACCGCCACGACCACCACGACCACGACGACGACGACCACCACCACCACCACCTGCATCACCACCACCACCAACGCCATCATCATCATCATCATCATCATCATCATCATCATCATCATCATCATCATCATCATCATCATCATCATCATCATCATCATCATCATCATCATCATCATCATCATCATCATCATCATCATCATCATCATCATCATCATCATCATCATCATCATCATCACCACCACCACCACCATCATCATCATCATCATCATCATCACTACCATCATCACCACTAATACTACTGCTATCGCCGCCACCACCAAGTCAACAATTTGTTCTTTTACACATTAAATTAGGCAGTCAAATAATGCATGTAAAGAGTCCTATAACCAAAATCAACCTGTTCAGAGAAAAGGCAGTGAGCACTTTCGGATTGCAGAGAGGTTAACGGTAAAAAAACTTTACACGACTGTAAACCAAGAATTGTTTATCCAATAGCCTTTTATCGGGTAATTGGCCAAGGCACTAAACGGCAAGAAAGGTTTCTAATGTTGTCCTCGCTCCATTTTAGGACTCAATGTTTACCGACAAGGTCTACGATGGGATAAACGTGTTTGTGCACAATCCCGGAACGTTCCCCACGTACGAGATCAGTCATATGCCAACCAGTTTCCCCCTGCGTTACGGACAGAGTGCCCATATCGAGATCTCCGGATTGCAGTACACTTCTGACATGAGTGGTCGCAAAGCCTGCATCAAGTCCGAAAAACCCTATCGGTTGGTCATTTCTATTTTGACTGTTCTTAGTAAGTAGTAGCTTATCATGTCTAAAATACAAGAAGCCAACTATTCGGGGCTGTACATTCCCAAAATGCTAAATGAAATGCTGAAATGTGTTTTGGATCCGAAAAGACTACTTAATTAGCGCTGTCCCAGCACATTCCAGTCAATTCAGGATACCAGTTTTCGAGCGAGTCTCCTATCAACCGCCTACATGAACAAAATTCACAGAAGTATTCAATTAAGTAGTTTGAATTTTTCTCAGGATTTCCAGATGCGCCGGTAAAATCATTTGTATTTTGTAGAAAATATGGACAAAATAATCGTCATCGAATTACACATTCTTCAAATTATATTCTTCCCAATTACCAGCCTCACTTCAACTCACACAACCCGACACTAAGTTATACATGTTTATACTGCTTGTAATTAGTAAGTAACCGTTAATGATTACTATTTTGCGACTGGCTGTCAGCTGTCCACGATTATGTACAAAATCCCTTTTTCACCCTCCCACTTATCAATGCATTTCTCCGACAACTTGTAACCAATAGGGAGTTAAAAGGCGCTCGCCTATATTTCCCTTAATAAACTGAAAATGAAACTTGAGGCAGAAGCATTATGGGGTGTTAAAACTTGTTCAGTTCTAGATTAATTTTGAACCCGATCTGTCGTTACACTTGCGTTCGGGGTTCCCAGTCTACAAGTCCTATAATTTCCATGTTAGAGAAGTCATGCAGTTCTATGTATTATCAAGAACGAAAGCTTGCGATTGACGTGGGCCATGTTGTTTACTTTATAAGGAGCACTAATTAACGTGCCGACGCGATGGTGTACGATTGGACATTTCACGGTCTTAAAAATTCTCATGGTTGGAAATTCTTGCCAAACCGAAAAATACTTTTTCTTCAAGTGTAAAATCTGAGGAAGACGTAATTTTCTAAATGAGTAACAAGAAAGAATGTATTTTTGCATGTTTCCAATAAAATATATTTTAATGCATTAAGAAACCGAAAATCAATGATAAAGATTCACGCTAATTAAGTAATCGTTTTATGCTGGATGTGATGTTTGCACTCGGTCGAAAAAAGGTTCATCCAAAAGCCGGCATCTTGACGTGTCAAAAATTCCCTAGGCTAATGCCGCATGATAAGTACTACAGCAATCTCACCTAAGTAGTCTTTTGGGATCAAAAGCTTATTTCCAAATTTCGGTTAACAGTTCACAGGATAGCACATCAGCTGCAGAAAGCACGGTATAACATAGTTGGCAACACAGGTAAAAGCTAAAAACCCAGGCACGCGTGTCCCGTGATATTCTGCCGCTTCATTGCACGACCGTGGGGAGTTAGAACATCAGTGGGTCCCTAACGTTCTGCGTGAGCTTTTCTGGTAGATACTCCAGTTTTGTGGTTGCAGCTTCTTAATTTACCCAGAACTTAATCACCATCCTGGAGTAAATCAGTTCACTTGAGACTTAGAGGTTCAGACTAAAACTTGTTATGAATATTTGGGCCGAATTCAACCAGTCACATTGGAATAACTAGGTGATACTTACAGTAGGTGGGCTAACTCATGAAATGGCAACCGAAATTCCGAAATGCGTTTCCGTTTCGAAAAGATTAATTAAGTAGGGTTGTAAAACTAGTCAGCCTGCAGCATAATCCTATAATATTTCATTTAACTCAACATGCCAGCTTTAGGACGAACTTCTTTCCGGCTGCATGCAAAAACTACACTCTGTAAAAATGACTTCTTAAATAGCATGAATTTTTCTCATTGACTTTCGACGCCCTAAACGTCCATTTATATTTCATGGAAAAAATGTACAAAAATATTCATTCTTTTGCTAATTCGGCAGACAATTACGTCTTCTTCCAATCCTATACTCGAAGAAAGAGTATAATTTGGTTTTCAAAAACTTTTCCAATTCCCGAATAATTTTGAACCCGCTCTACCGTTACACTAGCATTCAGGGTTTCCAAACCACAAGCCGTATATTTTCCGCGTACGGAAAACCCCACATTTCTCTACGGTATTAAGAGCAGACCATATGAGGTCATAAAATTTAGCAGTGAATTTGATCCATATTGCTACCTTTACAAGGCACATACTCGTCCTTGTCCCTCTAATTCGTAATCCACTCCTCTTCCTGCGTTGTGGTAAACGAGGAGGATAAACTTCGTTAAAATAACAGTGACCACCACCACCACCACCACCACCACCACCACCACCACCACCACCACCACCACCACCAC